GACTGTAGAAGAATTGATGCTTTTGAGTTATGGTGTTGGAGGAGAATATTGAAAGTGCCATGGGCTGCCAAAATAACCAATAGATCTGTTTTGGAAGAAGTGCAGCCAGAGTGCTCCTTGGAGGCCAAGATGGCCAAACTTCGTCTCACATACTTTGGATATATTGTCAGGAGGGAACAGTTGCTGGAGAAGGATGTCATGTTTGGTAAGGTGGAGGGTCAGAGACAAAGAAGGCCCCCAATGAGATAGATTGGCCAAGTGGCAGCATCGATGGACTCAAGCATGGCAACAGTAGTGAGGTTAGCCTAGGATTGGGCTTTGTTTCATTCTGCTGTGCAAAAAGTCGCTATCAGTCAGTACTGACTCGATGGCACCTAACAACAACAACAACAATAGATCATTTGGAGTCCTGGTGTTGCGCTGTGGATTAATGCGCCAGACTGAAAAGCCGTTTGAACTGCATGGTTGGCGGTTCAAGCTTGCCAGCTGCTCCTTGGAAACTATATATAGGGTTGCTATGGGTCAGAACCAATTCGATGGCACTTCACAACAACAACCACATAGATCATTTATTTATTACATAGCAAATATAGTGTATATTAAATTTGATATTCTGCATTTTTTACCTAATAATATGATAAAAAATTTAAGTGTTTTTCAAAACAAGTTCTAAATTACATGTAGCAATTTAGAATAATACTGGGAATGAATAAGAGTAGCTTTTTCTTTGCTTCCTGACCTGCATTGTGTTATCATTTCTAAAAAATGCTGTTGATATAAAAATTAAAAATGATTGTTTCAAAAATCTACCCAACATTGCAAATATGAAACTGACAGATTCAATTTTCTAAAAAAACATTCTTATCAACCTGGAAATCAGAATGATAAATAAATATTTAAAATTTAAACTCACTGAGAACATTACAAATAAGAACTTATTGGTTATGGCCAAAATTGAATTCAGAAGGAAATTAATAGATACATGAATTTTGTTAACAATTGTATACTAGTGATGATGATAAAAGAAAAAATAGATGCTAATTCAGTTAAGCATTTTTACAAGCAATATAAAATAGCAAAATAAACAAAAATAATGATGGAAAATAAAAATAAAGTGAGAAAACTATAAATTAGTAAGAAAAAAAGTAGAAACAAAATTATCAAGCATGAGTTCTTTGTAGAATGATATTTCTGCAGCTTTATGTAAAAAATTTGAAAAACCATATGAACTAGATGCTTTTATAGGAATATATTCAATACCAAAATTAATTTAAGACGTAGCAGAAAACCTAAATAATTGAATAATCATAGAAGACATTATAAAAGTTGTGAAATATTTTCCTGCAGCTATAACTTCCATTAAAAGAATAATAAAGGACAACCAAGCAATATTTACTCCATATTGTTTGACATTACTATTTCAGAAACTGCCAAAACTAGGAAAGTCTGCTCTCTTTGGATCTTGCCAAATTTTAACTTTAGGATTATAATAAAGAGGGAATTTGAGCACCTCCACAATTAAATGTAATTACCAAACAATATTTTGATATCAAGTTTACATTTTCATTCTTCTAAGTGCTGCCACTC